TTTTATAAGTACCACATTATGATTATGAAATCACATACTATAACTAGTACGATTGCATGTTCTGAAACGTGTCGATACAATAATGCTCAAAAGGTTTTATTTGTTAATTGTTTCATTCATAAATTTTTTTATAATCTACATTATTAAGTTTTTAGCGTTATGTTAAAATATCAAGTATGTTTCGTATCATAATTTATACACAATTGTTCTAACCTTAAATTGTGTTAACCTGTTCGATTCTATGAACGAAGATAGAGGATTCACACTACATATAGCTTTACATATTATTAAAATGCTCTATCAAAATTATTGTATATTACATTAAAAAATTCATTAATATTCATTATTATTTATGAATTTCTCAGAAATGCCTCGATCTAAAGTTTCCGATCTATTTAATGTACTTAAAGGAGTACAAAGGGTTATGAATATTTTGATAAAACATCAGAGGGATGCAATCAGATATAGAATCACACACTCCAGTTTAAAAGATGTACCAGAGAAGTGTTTACAAGCTGTAGATAAAAGATTAAGAAGAACAGAACCAAGTAAGGTTCCTGTAAGTCCTGCACTTAGTATAACATCTAGCAATAAGTGATATGTCAACATAATATACAATGTCTTACATATTTTTCTTCTTATTATGATTGCTTTTTTATAGGGACAGATAATAAGAGATATGAAAAAAGTAACTGAACATATAAGTGTAATTGAAAAAGGTATTGAACAATATATCAAAGTAACAACTAATCGAACTTTAGATATAAAAAGTAATGGTTATACTCCCAAGAAAGAAACCAAGCTATATGTGTACAATACTGCGAAAGATCCAAAAGAATTGCCTATTGATGAAGATGTTATATCACCAAAATGCAATATTAATAAATCTATAACTCAAAAGTCTTTAGAAAGCATGCAAAATAATGCAACAAAAAAGTATATGAGTGTAAAAGAAAAAATCAAGACTATTAGCAATTTAGATAAAGATGAGATACCTGACATAGAATTTTCTGATAAAGACAAAGAAATCTTAAGGAAATTGGAATTGGAACATGAGAAAAATATTAAAAACAAGATGATGAGTTCTAATTGTTCTACAATTAAAGAATATGAAAAGAAACGTGTACATATGGAAATAAATTCTAAAGAAAGATCAAAACCTAAATTATCAGTTAGACCAAAGCAATGTGTAAGTATTACCAGATAAATTTTTATTTATTGCATCATATATCTATTTTTATTAAGTTGATTTATATGTATAGTCACATTTTAACTAGTATATATATTTAATTTATTTTACAGCTATCACCTACCGCCAAAGAAAGAAAAGTTCCTTCTACAAGATTACAAAGAATGGTGAGTTTTGGTACTTTAGGTATTGGGCTTGGTCTCGGTACTGCTGCAGAATATACACGGAGGACATTGGGATTAAAGGAGCATAGTATTGCGGATACAATTGACAATATGTTCCTTACTAAAGCTAATGCAGAAAGAATAGTTTCAACATTATGTAAAGTGAGAGGTAAGGCATATATAATTGAATTATATGTATCTGTGTACATATGAAAATTTTATCAGTTGATGAAAATTTAGGTGCAGCTTTAAAGATTGGTCAAATATTAAGCATCCAAGATAATACTATCATAAATCCAGAATTGCAGAAAGTTTTTGAAAGAGTCAGACAAAGTGCTGATTTTATGCCAACTTGGCAAGTAGAGGTAAAAAGTATGATATAAATGTAAGAATTAAAAGTTAATCTGTTAATGTGTTTATAATTCTTTCTAGAAAGTGTTGACTAACGAACTTGGACATAATTGGAGAAATAAATTGGCGTTTTTTGAGGAAAAACCATTTGCTGCAGCGTCCATTGGTATATATTGATTTGTTACTTTTTACATTTATATATGTACAATACTGAGAGATCTTCTCTCAATTACATAATATATTCCAGGACAAGTTCATCATGGTACATTATTGAATAAACAAGATGTAGCAATAAAGATTCAGTATCCTGGTGTGGCTATGGGTATTCAGAGCGATATTGAAAATTTAATAGGTATAATGAAGGTAATAATATCAATATTATATGTATCCTACAAAGAACTTTAGTCAGTAAATTTTATTACATAAATTTATTATATAAATACCGATGAGAATAAGCCATTTACGGTCAAACTGGATCTTAAATGTTACTAATATAATTTTCGTGTGAATTTATATACTACGTATGTAGATCCCTAAATGCGCGCCAAAACTTTTTTTGTTGATTCCTACATATTCGATTATTATGAGGAATATTGCTAAGGCCTCGGTAATCTAATTGGCTAGGACATTTGCGCGTAAAGCAAGCGACCCGGCCGAGGTAATATTTTTCGCAATAATGTTTATTATATAAATTTATTATATAAATATCGTATGTATTATTGTAGGTATGGAATATGTTTCCAGAAGGAATGTTTATAGACAATGTAGTGGAAGTTGCAAAACGGGAATTGGCATGGGAAGTGGATTATATAAGGGAAGCAGAATGTACGAAAAAATATAGGGAGTTAATAATGCCTTATCCAGAATATTATGTGCCTATAGTAATAGGTAAGTGATATAGGTAAATAAAAAAAGATGTAGAATCAATTTTTGGTATTTAGTATTAATTAAATTTCTAGACAATCTCTCTACAAAACAAGTATTCACAACAGAGATGATAGAAGGTATACCTGTTGACAAATGCATAGATATGGATATTAAGATTAAGGAACATATAAGTGAATTAGTCATGCGTCTGACCCTAAAAGAATTATTTGAATTTCGATACATGCAGACTGATCCAAATTGGTCCAACTTTTTTTTCAATCTTGATTCAAAACAGGTTTTTGTTTATAGTAATTATGTATTTATAACTTAATTGCGAAAGAGTATTAACAGATATACATCTTTGTAGTTAATTTTATTGGATTTTGGAGCATGTAGAACTTATGACAAAATGTTTATGGATAAATATATAGAAGTCATTAATGCTGCGAGTGAAGGAAATCGCAACAGGGTTCTACAACTATCTCAAGAGATGAAGTTTCTTACTGGATATGAATCCAAGGTATCTTATCTGTATCAAGTAACCCTAAAAAACATTAAAAAGCTATTTCTATAATATAATATAGTTTTGACTGAACAACAATTTTTACATTCTCAGATCATGGAGGATGCTCATATAGATGCAGTCATGATTCTTGGACAAGTATTTGATAACAATCACAAATATTATGATTTTGGTGGTCAAGATGTAACAAAACGGTATGTTCAACCTATTTCTGCATCCATTCTATAATACATAATAATTATACATTGCAGGATTCAAGCCTTAGTACCAACTATAATAAATCATCGATTATGTCCACCACCCGAGGAAATATATAGCTTACATAGAAAATTGTCTGGAATATTTTTATTGTGTGCAAAACTTGGAACAAAAATCAAATGTCGCGACATGTTCCGTGAAATTTATGATAATTATAAGTTTGGTTAAAAAAACATATATATATTGATGATATATAACGAAATATACATGTATTTTGATTGAAATGCATAATTTATTTTGTAAAAATATATTTTTTCTAGTACCGACAGTATTTTCAGAGAGATTAAACCCGAGAGTGAACGTTCCGATCTTTTTCGTACCAAACCTCATAGAGAGAGGGTAATATAAGCCTTAAGTCTTAAAGAATTGAATAATTGATCAATTACAATTGAATGTGAGAAGAATAATCAATTACGATTGTGACCAACTCTTAAGGATTAAAGCATACTACACCTATTGTGTTTGCGAGGTTATGCAAAAGATCTATGTCACGGTCTTAAAGTCAGTGGTACACGATGCTTGCTAGCCGAATTTGATTCTTGCCACTGTATTGGCTACAGTGCTGGCAGTGCCAGTATCACAGCCAATACGGTGACAAGAATCAAATCCAGTTACAAGCATCGTGTGCCACCGGCTTTAAAATTCATAATTTCATACATGCGAGATGGTCAAGAGAGAGATAGGGAAGAAGAGACATATTTACTTTATACATTCATACACATTTTTTTTTTTAAACGGTATGACAATTGTCTTCAATATCATCATAAAATGTCTCAAGACAAGATAAGTAAAGTTTCACAATTAAACTTATTTTTATACTACACAACATATCTACAGTAGTTAATATATGTAATTTCATCGAGATAAATAAATTTACTTGCAGTTGGCGTTGACATTCTCTTGGAATTTTTGGAAGTAGCGTTCAATCACATATTATACTTTCGCAAAATTTATGCTAAGGAAATTTTTGTTAAGAAAAAGATATATGGAATTACGATATATGTATCAGAACATCCAGAATTAAATGAATATTTATCAAATGTTTTGAATGCAATCAGAGAATTGATAAGGGAAGATGAAAATAGTGTTAAAGCCATCAATCTTACCTTCTACAACAAGAACAAGTTACCAATAGAAAAATTTGTCTTTGATATGGTTAAACTACAGGCAGAATTTACAGAGTATATTGAACAATGACTAATACATTATTCAATTCTTTTGTTATATACAACTTGTTAATATTATTCTTTTCTATTTTAAGGAGAGATCCGTATTATTTAAAAACAGAAGAAGCACTGAAGACAGTTTGCTTAAAATTATCAATGTGTGATACATACTTAAAAGCTATTCCAGACAATTCAACTTTTTCTATTGAAATTCAAACGTATGAAACTGCACATATTACTCTGAGCGAAAATTCAAAATGTGAAGATTTTCCATGGATTATTAAAGATGATGCAGTAGAAGTGATCGATAAAAATCTATTGCCATTGAAGAATATCAAAACAGATTGTTTAAATTTGCAACTCTATGTGATTGAGGATATAGTAAACAAAATCTAAAATTTAAATAAGTTTATATAACTTATATCCTTTTTTGTACTTTTATTTTGTATAAATCATAGAAAAAATACATCTGACTGTACTTATTAAACTTGTCCCATCAGTTTAGATATAAATTCTTTATCTCTATTCCATAAAATGTTACAAATGGCATTTAATTGATACGAGCAATCAAATATTTCAGATCTTACTGACAATTTGCTACTATCAATCTTAATCACCTTAACTTTCCACTTGTCTTCGAATTCTTTAATTTGTGCTTCATCTATCATGGAGCTTGACCAAGGTTTGAACCTGTAAAAAGTCAGATCAAAATTATCTAAATATTTTCTATTTTCTAATGTGATTATCACATAATAGTACTACTTTGTGCCAATGACTATATTTGCTGGTTTTCCTTTTATATTGATCATTGTATTCATCAAGTATGGAATGTCATTGAAGCTTGATGCATCGTCAAAAGAAAATACAGAGCATATTGCATCAACTTTATCTTTGCATACCTGTAAGTATTGTAAAAAAATATATTGTTTATATATATATTTGTTTAATTAATTAAACATAATTATCATATAAAGAAGAATTTATACATATGCTTCTCTCACACATACTGGTAAAATGTGATTGTATTTTTTTATACTATTTTCCGAGGTATCCCAAAATTGCAGTTTAAACAGAACGACTTTATCCCAAATTTTTACAGGCCAGTAAATGTTTGTTTTCCTTATTCCATTGGTTTCTGTATAATTGTTAGAATCGAGAATACCTGCGAGTCTTGCTATTACTGAAGTCTTTCCAACGCCAGATCTACCTATCATGAAGATTTTGTAAGTGACCTCTTCGATCGAAGAAGGCAACAATGGCTTCTCTAGAATACCTGTAAAGTATATGAAAATAATAAATTGGAAAGAAAACTAATGTGTGTGTTTACATAATAGTTAACATAAATAGATGATAGAGCGCACCATAAAATCTCCTTTTTTTAGAAGAATTTACATAAAAGTGATGGATCAAAGATTCTCCTTCTGCTGAAGCTAACCAGTTCATATTAATCGCATTCATGCTTCTTCGGTTTCACTACGAAATAAAAAGTGATAAAGTGTATATTCGAATGCGCATTGTAACAGAATGCAAAATTCCATACAACTTTGCATTGCTGGTGTTTAAATATATTTATAATAACTCAATATGATAAATCATATGATAAATAGATACATACTAGTATGTATTATCGATCGCGTACTATGCATACAAATTACCAGTACTGATTGGCGATCTTTCATGAAAACTGTAATAAATACAACAGCCAATCAGAACTATACGTTGGGTGTCGCGAGTATAAAAATATTTTATTGACTGAAAATAAGTATTTAAAAATGAAATTTAAATTTTTAGTCTCGTGTAATGTTATTAAACTATCGTTATCGCGTTTATTGTAATAAATATTATAGTAAATAACGTGAATCTTCTTTATGTATAGCAATTTAATCATTCTCTAAAATTTCCATTAAAAATACAAGTATAGTAAAATGTAATAAGCGAGCATCATATCAATGCGTGCGTATGTGTGTGCGTGCGCGCGCATGTGTGTGCGCTCTTTAATAAATTGACGGAAGAAGCAGTGGGTGTTACATATAGAGAGACCAATGGTCGCGCGTCCCGCCTTAGGGTGAACCAATCGACGGACGCGCTGCATTCCGTCGCGGTTGAAACAGCGGTCGCAATTGGCCTTGTAGCCGGCGTCGGTTCGGACACGGCCGTGCAGTCAGCCAATAATCACGGCGCGCGCTACGTAACCAACTGTTTGTGACTGTTCCGCCATATTGTGTATGCAGCGCGGGTCAGTGGCGCGTGTATATGTGTCTTTTGTGATTATTCTCTCCGATTTTCTCCTTCACGTCAAACGTAAACTGTGCATGAATTTACCTGTCTGATTAACGGGGCCTGTCGCGCGTGAATGATGGATCCGTCGAAATTGAAAGTGGTGGAGTTACGAGCCGCACTAAGCGAGCGCGGCCTCGACACCAAGGGCAACAAGCCAGTGCTCGTCGAGCGGCTACGCAAGGCTCTAGAGGAGGAAATACAGGAGTGTAAGTTATACTTGATATGCACCATCGAATACCATCCTCGTATTTGTTCTTATTTCATTTACTTTACTAATTTCTAACAATGTACTATTACCATGTATTATAGTGAGGTCCTGGTGATCATCACCATATACTACTACATCATATAACATTATCACATGTAGCTCATAATGAGAATGACTAATGTTCTCAAATTATATTCTTTTATTTACGTGTGAGGTGTCATCTGATGTAGTATCATATGTTTTGTTTTTGTCACGGTACAAAATTTAATTTTTTAGATTTATTTTTGTTTAACATTATATTTAACGAGGTATACTCAATTATAAAATATATTTTTGAATTTTTTTACAGGCAGTTCAGATTCACATACAGAGAATATTGATGATACAGCTTTGAAAGAGACGCAAGATAGAGTCATAGAATCTACGCGAACGTCGCAATCACCAAGGACGCCTAATAGAGCATCTAGAAGCTCTTCAGTGACAACTCCAACAAAAATTTCTACAAGAAATGCATCGAGAGCATCTACAACTTCAAATTCTTCAAAACAATCTACTCCGAACAAATCTCAGTATGGTGAAAAAGCATACGAGACACTAATGACTAATGAAGAAATAACACAACAAGAGGAAATGTCAAAATTATCTCCTGAAAAGTATAGAGAAGAGCAAGAAGATGATGCGTCAAACATTGTTCAGAACAAAAGTCACTCATCTGGCAAATATGAGGAAGAAGAGGCAAAACGTGTTAATATTTTAGAAGGTAATATGTATCAAGCAAATATTTTCCAAGTACCTGTGACAGAACCGTCTGACAAACCTAGTACAATTGCCTGCATAGATCAATTTTCTATAACTGAAGAAGCTCGTGAAGCAAAGGGATCTAATATAGATGAAGTTAATAAAATTCAACAGCTAACTGCAGTGACAAAGGATATTACAAAACTGGAAGAAAAAACAGAGATTAAAGATGAAGATAAAATTTCAGTTGAAAAAAAATATGTTGAATATAAAGAAGATAGATATAACATTGAGGATAATATAGACATTCCAGAAGTTGAACAACCAACACATGTGATACCTGGTCAGGTAGATAAAACATGTGAATTAAAGCACGAAGAAAAAACTATTCACGACGATTATATAATACGAGATGAAAAAATGGACATTTCAGTTAATGTAGAAAATTTAGATGAAAAAATTGATACTGTTAATATCTCACAAGATAAACAGGTATGTAATAATCTATACATTTTTATAATCTGTTTCGTTACAAGTAATACAAGTAGTGTGTAACAATATATAAGAAATACCTCTGTAAATTTAATATATTTTTAATCATACATTTTCATTTTTATTTGTATGAAAGAACATAAAAATAGCCGAAAATTATTTTTTTAAAGCAAAAAGCAACATTAGATGCAGGAGAATCAAATCAAGTGGAATACAATGACAGGAAAAGAAAAAGATCTCTTAGTCCAGCAGAAGTCCGTCAACTATCTCCTGTGCCACAGAAATCAGAGGATGAACCAGATCTTGACGAGTCAACTGTAATTTTATCATGGTGTAAGTTTTTTAAATTAAATCTTGTGTATTTTTTTGAGATTAATAACTCTTTTTTAACACACACGCGCGCGCATGTGTATATATAATATTGAAAAAATTTTTTTTATTTTAGATGACTCAGATTTGAATTTAGTTATCAATAAAGATGGATTTCTCTCTGGTACACCTATGCATGATGGTGATCTCTGTAATATGTGGGCTGGTGCAAGAGCATCTCATGGTGTTTTAAATGGAAAAGTCTATTACGAAGCCAGAATTATACAACATTATCCTACTATTATGAAAGGCGAGAAACAATCACATATGCTTAGAATTGGTTGGTCAGTACTCTCTACATCCATGCAACTTGGCGAGGAAAAATTAAGTTATGCATATACAAGCGCTGGACAACAGGGTACTGATAAGAAGTTCACAGATTATGGTTCTCCATTTGGCAAAGATGACGTTGTAGGATGCTATCTTGACATGACACCTGAGAATACCATAGAATTGTTTTACACAGTAAATGGCAAAAACGTTGGATCTGCATTTAGTATCTGCAAAGAGGAACTTGGTGATAAACCATTGTTTCCACACATTCTAAGTAAAAACTGTACGTTTGTCTGCAATTTTGGCCAAGAGGAGGCATGGTGCCAGCAAATTCCAGGATATATTTTAGTGGGTAATATTGAATCCAAAGACAGAATTGCTGGTCCACGTAGGCCAAATGGAAAGGCAGATTGCGAAGTAATAATGATGTGCGGTTTGCCCGCGGCGGGAAAAACTACCTGGGCAAGGAAGCACGCGGCTGACCATCCAGATAAACTATACAATATTCTAGCAGTCCATAAATTAGTTGAGAAAACTGGGGTATGTATCATAAAACTATAAAAAATTCTCAAGTCTGATACATAGTGTTTGTTCTTAATGCAATGTTTTCTTCCTATTCAGGATGTTGCTCTGTCAGATAAAGAGCAAAACATCTGTCAGCGAGAAATTATTATCGACAGATGCAACCGCGCACTCGATCAACTGATCAATATAGCAGGTGATAGAAGACGTAACTATATATTAGACCAGGTATGTGTTACATGCATGTGCATGAAAGAGCATAGATGTTTAAATAATTAAATTGTGAAATCTAAATATTGTTTTTGAAATAATTTTGTGATGTGTATATGCAGAAGAGCAACATGTATTCCTCCGTACAAAGGCGTAAGATGCGAAATTTCTGCGGATATCAGCGAAAAGCAATCGTTGTTATACCAACAGACGAAGAGTACAATCAGCGTTTGTCAATGCACAATACAATCGAAGGAAATTCTCTAGTGTCTAATCTTACGGAAATGAAAGGTACTCGTTGTCATTATACTTATAATACATATGATTGTAATTAAGAATATATTATTCAAGTAATGATACATGTAATTCGAATGTATAGCAAATTTTACTGCACCTTCGGTGGGAGAATTTTTTGATGCGGTGAAGTGGGTCGGTCTTGGTGAGGAAGAAGCCAAGAAACTCATTGAGAAATATAATAAGGAAGGCAAAGATGCTGGATTTAGTCAACAACCACCGGCAAAGCAACCGCGTCTTTCTGACAAGACTGAGAGTAACAAAGAAACGCGTGATTCTCGAAACAGCCGAGATATTCGAGATCGAAGAAATAATTGTGAGTATTTTATTATTATTATTATTAAATATCATTATTGTTATTGTTCTTTGTACATTGCATAACACTATATTGTATGCTTATGTGTAAGATCAAGATAGAGGTCGCAATCCTTCCTGGCGTGGTTCCAATATGGGAGGCTGGAGAGGAGATCGATCGCAAAGAGGTAGTTACATGAGGCATACTGGTGGTTACGGACCTCCTGTCCCATGGAGACTACGAGGACGAGGCGGACCTGCAATGGTACGATCAGACAGAAGGATGGGTGCAGTTGATAGAAGATCAGGAAATGATAGAAACCGATCTGTTGCTCCTAGGCAAGGTGGTTGGGGCCCTATGAGGTAATTATTTTTTAATTAAAATCCAAAACGTTTCTTTATAACTAAATGAGTTATCCAATATAAATAATTCTTAATAAAAAAACATGATGCGATGTGTGCTTATATTTCAGTGGAAATTATCAAGGGTCACAACAATCTAGTTGGAGTCAACAGGACAATTGGTCAGGTAGCCAAGCTACAGGAAATTGGAACCAACAACAAAGTAGCTGGGGACAACAACAGTGGGGAGGCGGTTGGAAGGGATATGGCCAAGGCACGTACGGACAGACGGGATACAATCAACATGGATATGGCAACGGTAATTGGAATAGCTGGAATCAACAGTATTACAACAACCAGTATTGGAGTCAACAACAACAGGGTGGACAGACTACTGCAGCTAGCGGCCAGGCTGTAAGCAAACAATAATCCACCACCGTAAATGTTACGAGAACGGATAATAAATGTAAGGTACAAATATAGAATGCTACTTTTGTAAATCAAAAGTTTCAATTTTCAATTTTCAATTTAATCAATGTTACCAGAATCGTTTATTTATATAATTGCATATGAATTTTGCACATGCATACATTTGCAGGTAATTACAAGCGAAA